TGACAGTCTCTATGTCGAGGCCGATGAGCCTGCTCTTGCACAACGCCGTATAAAATTATCTTTACAATATATTACAAAACTATATTCTAACGAGTCTAATCCTGCATTTCGCTGCACAACAAGAAATCTTCGCTTGTTCCGCCTCTTCGGCTCAGCATTAAGCCATTCATTACTGCTGCCGGCATTGAGCTGGAAAATATATCTCCTTCCTGTCTTCTTTCTTCTCCTCCTTGGAAATTGGTGAGGCCACAAGTCGACCTAACACTCACTACATATAAAAGAAACTAACGAATTACAATATAACCAAGAATATAATCAATTAAAAAGTAAATATAATACATATATAAATCCTGATTCACAGATGGGTCCAAGGATAATGGCGCAGTAGCTTGTGCCACTGTCATTGAGTCAAAAACAAGATCTTCCATATTACCCAATGACAGTTCAATTTTTTACAGAAGCTAACGCAATACTAACAGCTCTTAAATATATTAATAAACACCGTAAATATAAACAACACATAATCTTTTCCGATTCTCTTTCATGTCTTCAGGTTATTAAATATCTTTCTTGTAAACATCCACTTTTAATAGAAATTATTGAATTGTATAATGAGCTTGCTACTGGCCATTGCGACATCGTCTTTTGTTGGTTACCCAGCCACGTTGGTATTTCTGGGAACACAATGGCCGATCTTGCTGCCAAGGTAGCACTCAACAGATCTGTGACACCACTTCTTATTCAATACTCTGATTACAGAGCTAGCATTAGAACTTACATCCGTGATCTGATGCAAAAGAAGTGGGACACCCAATTAGGCATTAATAAATTACATGAAATAAAACCCCATATTGGTTACACCTACTTGGGTTGTCAGTCTAGATTAGAAGAGGTCATCATGCGACGATGTCGCATTGGCCATACAAGGTATACTCATGAATACCTGTTAAAAGGTGAGGATCCTCCATTGTGTATTAATTGTGATGAAAGAATCACAGTCAAGCATGTCTTGCTTGACTGTATTGATTTTGCCATCATAAGGGATAAATATTTCAATGTCAAAACAGGATCTGTTTAGTGTTAATTATCATTTAATCATTGAATTTTTAAAAGAAATAGAATTGCTAGATAAATTGTGATTAATAGTTTGTAAATAGATATGTATTTAATTATTGGTAGTTTAGATGAGTAACTTAGATTGTTAGTGGCTGTACCCTCAAAGGGGGTTAAAGTACTGTAAAATTATTGTCCTCCTGAGAGGGTACGTAAGTCCCAAAACTTTCAAAGAAAGATGTAAATTTACCACATTTTAATCGTAGTATTTTTGTTCTTTTAACTTCCGGCTAAATTTTCCTGCAATCACCAGCGGCTGAAGGGATGGTGTAAATCCAGCTGGGGTCCATGCAGGTACCAAAGGTACTGAAAGTCCCGATGGTGCCTAATATGGTGATCTACCTTCTGTTGTTGGCGATCTATAGCCTGTTTTTATATGATATTGTCCCAATAGTGCTATTAGTTTTAAACTTTCCACGCTAGTTTTAATTCTAATTGTGATATTCTAGTTGTTTTACTGTCCTTCGTCGACAGGTTTTTATAATATACATATACTACACTTCAATGTCAAATATGTTCTCGTCACGATATGGCTGCAATATTGCCGATGTGACGTTAAATAATAACTCACTCACTCACTCACTCACTCACTTATTTTCTAGTCTATTAAAATGTTAAAACTATTTTGTCTATGAAGGTAATTTATGCAAAATGGTATCCCTGGCAGCTGCTTGAACAAGCTCGACAGGGCTTTGCGCTCTTTCAGTGTTGTGTTTATTTGGTCACACTGGTTGATGAAAACGAACCATTGTTTCCGAATCAAGATCAGCCTTCTGGGTAGATATTTCATCCTCTCGACAGGATTGAGCATGCCATAACTTCATTTTCAGTTTACTGATTTTTATAATTGTGTGTTTCGGAACTATATGTTTAAATGCATTTGAACAATCCAGGGTTTCAATTGAACAGCTGTAATTCTGTTCAGTGAGAACCTCTCAACATATTTCCACCTGTATTCATGTCCGTCTTGGCAATATCGATTTGACAACTTGGATTTGGTATTGTCTAATTTTGCTCTTCCGAAACAAGCTGTGACGTTCTAATCCCGTATGACTTACTCTCTAGAATTCCAGTTATAGCACGGCTGCCTGTAAATAACCGAATCTGGACAATCCAGTGTATGACTGAGCATCGATCTACACAATTGGGAAACGCCCGATGGCGAGCCTGGCGAACCTTGAAAATACGATATATCGGTTGATGTGGACGTAATTCTCCGGTTTTCGATCACGTCACTGTATTTCTGTGATGAACCTTTATCGATTTTCTGACCCGCAGTGGGGGCCTATGGTCATGTACATGTACACAGATAACCACTGTTTTCCAACCTCTCCATGCTTGCATTGTATGCACTGTTTCAGCGTGGATCTTATCGTTGTTTCAGGAGCAATGTTCTTCTCGACAACTGTGTTTGGGTTTCTGTCAACTCTGAAGAGGAGAGCCCTGGAACCCTCTGAGGACACACTTCAGGACACAAGAGCTTCCGACGTTGCTGACCTTACGGACGCTCTAGTGAATGCGAGTGAGTGAGTTTGGATGGTACACCGCAACAGTATTGTGACTTGGAAGGAACATTGTAAACCACACACACTAAGCACTATTTTGATTCCTTAAACTCTTACCAAGTCTCATTTACTCTCTTATACAAAGAACACGTGTAATATGTAAAAACAAAACATCTATTTTATCCTATAATCAACAAATTGAAGACGTAGTGATTAGGAGTGCCATTACAAAGAACTTGTTATAGTGAATACTATATTATAAGTATCTGTATACAGAGCAGAAGACCAACTGGCCTCAGTCATTATCAGGCATCAGTCGATTATGTTCACGCCTCAATATTAAAGGATGTCATTTTTCCCTGTCTGTTTTGTATGCCTCGGGTGGCAATGGATACGCATTCAAGTTCATGCATCTGGTATCATAACTATTTTACTGTGATCCACAAGGAGACGCACACAATACGGTTCTGGATAGAATCGTACACAATCAACTCTGTGTTCTGTAGATATGTTTTAGGAGGCATGGTTGAGGGTATGCGGATAAGTGAGTGAGCGGTTATAAAACAAACCAAATCAATATCAAACAAATAATTTTATCAGAATTTGGTACAAATTTCAACCAAAATGAGACCATTAGAGAACATGGAGATTTACTGTGTCTTTCCTCATACGTAATTCCCAGCAGGATACACGCTATCACTTTGGTCAAGATAGTTGTATGCAATGTCAGGCAATTTGTGAATAAACACCATTATGAAGCTGAAGACAATACATGAAGTTGATGTGGATGTACAACAACACAGATGGGAATGGTGTAACCAGTGTCGTTTGTCATGCCATGGGTAAAACAGACACACGCACGCGCGTACGCCCCCTCGGAGATCCACTCGTGAGAGGTCACGACCTCAGTGGATGAGGACGGGAGACTATGTGATGTCAGTTTCTGCCAGTACTGATTGGATGAGGCGTGCAGAGTACTTGTCGTCATTGATTAGCAGCGGAGTGCTGGATGATGGGAGTGCCAGAAATACCTTGCTTCAGTTAATTTCCGGGAACGGTAAATTATGAGGACATCATTTCAATGCAGGGGGGAAGTATATGTAATAGGGTGAAATAAAAGCAATTATATTAACTTCATGTGTTGCGTTATTTTTATCAAAATGTATATACATCTGTGTTGTTTTGGGTTCAACAGAGGTTCATTTTGTTCACAATGAGCAGTTGTCGGCAAATAGTGTTTTAAGTGCTTAATGCAGGTCTCTGATTGCTTTGGATCATTCCATTACAAGGTCATAGGGTAATTAGGTTATTCTATCTTTCTGTCAGGTATGTGATTTGTAATGATCACCTGGTTGATTGGGATTGGCTTATTTCAAATCATAGGTCATCAGCTATTTTCACTCACACAGCACTTGTCACCCTCACCTTATGTGCTCAGCACTTGTCACCAGTACTTGATGTGCACAGCAATTCAAGATAATCAATAATCTACTTCTAAGGTTAGTAATTATAGTGCAGTATTGCTATATGCTTTTATTAATGAATAAATGACATAAATAAGTATCATAAGTAAACATTTTCAGTACAGTATTTGATAGTGTAATTAACAAATGTATGAATACTCTTATGCAAGAATGTGTGTATGAGTGATGATTTCATATATAACTTTGTATTATAAGTGTGATTGGATTATGCATATTTATATAAATCACACAATGAAGTAAACCTTTCCTTGTAGATATGTGTATTGTACAAGTTAATTGTTGTGTCTGAACTATTCTCAGTCACGTGACATATGAATATATTTTCATGTGTTTCATGTGTTATCATGTGTTTCATGTGTTGCTTGGCTCAGGTATCACAGTCCTGTAGTATGAGGAGGGTTGACCGCCGGTAACAACACTCCCGTGTCACCCACAGGGTACGCAGGTTATAATCTATTTCGTTATTTATGCATAAGTGACGTATTTGCTTATTGTTGCATATATTGTATTATTGTCTTGTATCATGTACTTGATGGCATGATGATATATCATAATTTGGTAAACACATTTGTAAGAAACATATATTTGTATGTGCACTTCTATTGGTATGAGCATATGATGTATGCATTATTACAGATAGTAATGTACCTGTAAACATATGCTTATTGATGTTATGTAATATAGTGTGATGTAATATGTACGCTTGTATTTTAACCCATCAAAGAAATTGTACTTATGATAACACTATTGTTACAGAGCGTCTACTGATATCAACTGATATCCACTGAATCCTCAGAATAAACGAGTTGACCTCACACCCGCAGCCTTTATTCTCACTGACATAGAGGGTAAATCCCAGACCGCAACACATATAACCCGGAAGTGACCTGTATAACAAGGAAGCCGAACCTCCTGGTAGGTGTGTGCTGTGTCGTCGCGACATATTCCAGTAAAGCTGTCTTGAGATGGATATAGGTGCAGTGTAAATCAGCGAAATACATACGTGAGTATAATAGCTTGTGTAATTTCTATGCTGGACTTGAATTAAGTTAAGTGATCAGGCTTTAGAGGTAAACCTTTTATTGTCACTCCAACTGGCGCCATTACTCGTGGTGTGTCACGCACGATACATGTCATATTACACTTACAAAACAAGGTCAACTCTATCTAACGTTATAACAGTGGAACAGGGTGTCAGTTGGCGAATTAGGATCAGGCAGATTCCGTTTATTTACAAAACAATCACTCTGGCAGAAATCCTGTCGTCACTTGACTGCATCGACCTTGAGGTCTACATTATCGTCGACTGTGTGAATACGGGCGTTGTCGTCGTCAAGTGCCATGCAGGACAGGCTATTTTTAGATCAGTAGTCGTGCAGGGGATCAGTGGGACAGATCTATACCTGCGGCGTTTGTGTGCAGTCGGGTAGATCGAGGTGCAGGAGTTGAGGGTGGATACATGGCTCATACTTAAGGAAGCACAAGGTGTGAGAAATACGGGTGGAGTGTATGGTTAAAGCAGAAGGATGTGTGTGACATATAGTAGACTAACGTTTAGTCTCTGATTATATTCTCTTAAAAAAAGTAGGGGATCCTGAACTTTTAATTTGCAACGGAAATATACAGGGTACAGGGTGTGACATACGAGGTGTGAGGTACGGGATGTGAGGTACAGGATGTGAGGTACAGCTTTCGAGGTACGGTGTGACGCATAGAGTGTGAGGTATAAGATGTGACGTACTAGATGTGAGGTACGGGAAGTGTGGTACGGGATGTGAGGTACGTTTTGTGAGGTACTGAGTGATGTACGGGGTGTGAGGTACAGGATGTGAACATGGAGATTTACTTTGTCTTTCCTCATGCGTAATTCCCAGCAGGATACACGCTATCACTTTGGTCAAGATAGTTGTATGCAATGTCAGCCAATTTGTGAATAAACACCATTATGAAGCTGAACACAGTACATGAAGTTGATGTGGATATACAACAACACAGATGGGAATGGTGTAACCAGTGTCGTTTGTCATGCCATGGGTAAAGCAGACACACGCACGCTCGTACGCACGCACTTCCACACACGTTTTCATGTCGGGGAAATCAGTCAAGTTAGAACAAACACAATTGTGGGCTACATTACATGGACCCGCCATGGTACAACAATAATACTGTTAAATATAGATCTAAGTGTCACGTACATCAAATATCAAACAGTTCAGTTTGTGATTAATGTTTATGATAGAGCTGTTCGCTATTCGATTATGATAAAACTCGCGCCTAAACATATAACCCGGAAGTGACCTGTATAACAAGGAAGCCGAACCTCCTGGTAGGTGTGTGCTGTGTCGTCGCAACATATTCCAGTAAAGCTGTCTTGAGATGGATATAGGTCCAGTGTAAATCAGCCAAATACATACGTGAGTATAATAGCTTGTGTAATTTCTATGCTGGACTTGAATTAAGTTAAGTGATCAGGCTTTAGAGGTAAACCTTTTATTGTCACTCCAACTGGCGCCATTACTCGTGGTGTGTCACGCACGATACATGTCATATTACACTTACAAAACAAGGTCAACTCTATCTAACGTTATGACAGTGGAACAGGGTGTCAGTTGGCGAATTAGGATCAGGCAGATTCCGTTTATTTACAAAACAATCACTCTGGCAGAAATCCTGTCGTCACTTGATTGCATCGACCTTGAGGTCTACACTATCGTCGACTGTGTGAATACGGGCGTTGTCGTCGTCAAGTGCCATGCAGGACAGGCTATTTTTAGATCAGTAGTCGTGCAGGGGATCAGTGGGACAGATCTATACCTGTGGCCTTTGTGTGCAGTCGGGTAGCTCGAGGTGCAGGAGTTGAGGGTGGATACATGGCTCATACTTAAGGAAGCTCAAGGTGTGAGAAATACGGGTGGAGTGTATGGTTAAAGCAGAAGGATGTGTGTGACATATAGTAGACTAACGTTTAGTCTCTGATTATATTCTCTTAAAAAGGTAGGGGATCCTGAACTTTTAATTTGCAACGGAAATATAAGCGTTAAGCAGTTTTTCAAAGAGGGTTATCAAAAAATGATATGAGGTATTGGGTGTAAGGTGCGGGATGTGAGGTACAGGGTGTGAGGTATAGAGTGTGAAGTACAGGGTGTGAGGTATAGGGTGTGAGGTACAGGGTGTGAGGTATAGGGTGTGAGATAAGGGTGTGAGGTACGGGATCTGAGGTAAGGGGTGTGAGGTACAGGGTGTGAGGTATAGGGTGTGAGATAAGGGTGTGAGCTACGGATGGATCTGGGGTGTAGGGGGTGTGAGGTATAGGGTGTGAGGGTATAGGGTATGAGATAAGGGTGTGAGGTACAGGATCAGAGGTACAGGGGTGTGAGGTACAGGGTGTGAGGTATAGGTGTAAGGTACAGGGTGTGAGGTACAGGATATCAGGTACTAGATGCGAGGTGTGAGGTAAGGGTGTGAGGCGTGTGAGGTAAGGGTGTGAGATAAGGGTGTGAGGTACGGGATCTGAGGTAAGGGGTGTGAGGTACAGCGTGTGAGGTACGGGGTGTGAGATAAGGGTGTAAGGTACGGGATCTGAGGTGAGGGGTGTGAGGTATAGGGTGTGAAGTACAGGGTGTGAGGTACAGGGTGTGAGGTATAGGGTGTGAGGTACAGGGTGTGAGGTACAGGATATAAGGTACAAGATGCGAGGTACTAGATGTGAGGTACGGGATCTGAGGTAACGGGTGTGAGGTACAGCGTGTGGGGTACGGGATGTGAGGCATAGAGTGTGAGATATGAGATGTGAGGTACTAGATGTGAGGTACGGGAAGTGTGGTACGGGAAGTGTGGTACGGGATGTGAGGTACGGGGTGTGAGGTACGGGATGTGAAGTACGGGATATGAGGTACTGGTGAGTTACAGGGGTGTGAGGTACGGGATGTGAGGTGAGTGAAGTACAGGGTGTGAGGTACAGGATGTGAGGTACAGGATGTACAGGGGTGTGAGGTACAGTGTATGAGGCACGAGATGTGAGGTACAGGGTGTGAGGTACGGGATGTGAGGTACTGGAATGAGAGGTACAGGATGTGAGGTATAGGATGTGAGGTACAGGATGTGAGGTACAGGATGTGAGGTACAGGATGTGAGGTACAGATGTGAGGTACAGGTTGTGAGGTACAGGATGTGAGGTACAGGATGTGAGGTACAGGATGTGAGGTATATATGTGAGAGTGCAGGATGTGAGGTACAGGATACAGGATGTGAGGTACATGGTGTGAGGTACAGGATGCGAGGTACAGGATGCGAGGTATGGGATGAGAAGTACAGGTTTTGAGGTACAGGATGAGAGGTACTACATGTTTGTGGTACAGGATGTGAGGTACAGGATGTGAGGTACAGGATATGAGGTACTAGATGTGAGGTACAGGATGTACGAGTGTGAGGTACAGGATGTGAGGTACAGGGTGTTAGGTACAGGATGTGAGGTACAGGATGTGAGGTACAGGATGTGAGGTACAGTGTATGAGGTATGAGATGTGAAGTACAGGATGTGAGAGGTACAGGATGTGAGGTACAGGATGTGAGGTACAGGATGTGAGGTACGGTATGTGAAGTACGGGATGTGAGGTACGGGATGTGAGGTACGGGATGTGAAGTACGGGATGTGAGGTACGGGATGTGAGGTACAGGATGTGAGGTACGGGATGTGAGGTACTAGACGTTTGGTACAGGATGTGAGGTAAGGTGTGTGAGGTACGGGGGTGTACGAGATGTGAGGTACGGGCTGTGAGGTACTAGATGTGAGGGGTAGTAAGATGTGAGGTACTAGATGTGAGGTACAGGATGTGAGGCACACATTACAATTTTCCTTTATCACCACCCGTAAACACATCTCATGGGATTCACCTGCACATCGCAGTAGCTCCCATACACGTGTATCGGGTGTTATTATTGGTTTTAACGGTTTTCAAGAAGTTCGTTAAATCACTGTAGATCATTAATTTTGACAATCATCTTGCATCTGAAAATGAAAATCGTACTCATGCAGATTTCACGTCATACACCAATCATCTTTCATGAACGACAACTGTACAGACAACTATGGTCATACGGAAGTGCAAGTGGTGATGCACTCTCAAAACATTCATTATCATCATATCAAAGTAGATTGACTCGTTATATATCTCCAAATTTTTTCAATCGTAATTTAAAAAGGAAGTTTTACAAACATCTCTCTCCTCCTCCTCTACCCACATATCTTCACCCTCCTACCAGTACCCACATCTCTCACCTCCTCTTCTTCACCCTCTCTACCATTACCCACATCTCTCTCCCCCCGCCTCTACCAGTCTTCACCTCTCCTACCAGTACCCTCACATCTGTCTCCTACCCGCTTCACCCTCTACTACCAGTACCCACATCTCATCTCCCACCCGCTTCACCCTACTACCAGTACCCACATCTCTCTCCTACCGGCTTCACCCTCCTACCATTACCCACATCTCTCTTCTTTTCACGTCACCCTCCTGCAAGTACCCACGTCTTCCTCCCCCACAGCTCTCCTTCCAACACGTACCCGCCTCTCCTTCCTACACATAATCGCCTCTGCTTCCTCACCGCTTCTCCCTCCTACCAGTACCCACATCTCTCTCCTCTTCACTTCAGCCTCCTACCAGTACCCACATCTCTCCTCTCTTCACTTTAGCCTCCTGCAAGTACCCACATCTGAGGAAATCTAGACTTGCTTAGTTAGGGCTTTAGCATTGCAAAAAGGCTCTCCTTCATACACATAATCGCCTCCCCCTCCTCCCTTCTCCACTTCAGCCTTCTACCAGTACCCACATCTCTCTCCTCTTCACTTCAGCCTCCCACGAGTACCCACATCTCTACTCTTCACGTCACCCTCCTGCAAGTACCCACGTCTTCCTCCTCCCCAGCTCCCCTTCCAACACGTACCCGCCTCTCCCTCCAACACATAATCGCCTCTGCTTCCTCACCGCTTCTCCCTCCTACCAG